CCCGCCCTGTTTCAGGGCAGATGCTGTCATTATACTTTTTGTTTTGAATGCTATAATTTTTATTACTAATCCTAATTAAATGCTGTAACTTTTGAAAATCAGATTAATTCGAACCATCAGCCCAATGCAAATGCTATAATCATCAGAGATCATAAAATGTTCAAGGGACTGTAATTTTACTACAGAGCAGCAGTGGCATGTGTCCAAGGATCTTGCTACCTTTGTTCTGAAGACATGAATTGTAATGCGTGCACTTCTGCGTAATGCAGCATGAATAGAAATGATACATTCCTCAGCTGTTGAATTGCTTATTCCAGCCATAAGTCAACAAACGTTAGAAAAATGACATCACCTCTCCCATCACTAAAATACTCTTTCCTTGCTATAAACATTGTATGAATTCTGTGGTTTTTGCACAAGAGGTAAGGGAGCAGGTAGCGCTGGGAAGCTGTTGCACACAGAAATTGCACCTTATTTGTGAGCGAGGTAATAGTGGACATGACACAGGTAGCCCCACTGTCACCAAAATGTTTCTACCCTTGGTCCACAGTTTGTTAACTCAGGTTGAACAGAACTTCAACTGGTTTGATCTCCAGTAAGGACACACATTGATCATCGCTTCAGTCTCTTGGGCAGCAGGACAGATACTGTGAGGTTCTGGTAACCTGGTTCCTTTCAGACCAACTTTTGGTATTTTGGCTTTTTTTTTTTTTCTACAGATATTAGGTAACAAATAATTAATTTGAGTTCCAACTCAAGCAGTGGTAAGTTGGTCTCCCTGCTCTGTCTCAGCTTTATTTCTGAGCTGGTGACATTTGGAAAGATCTCACTGGTCATTATGTCTATAATTACCTGGCACCGAAAGACAGAAAGGCGTTAATCTGACACTGCAAACATTTATGCTGGAGTTCATTGTTTAGACTTTCTTCACAGCAGAGGAAGAAGACACTCTGAGGGAGCCGCTAGCTCTACTTCAGGAATCTACAGTAAGATGAGATAAATAGCAGGCTAGAAATGCCCAGTCCTCTCTAAGTCGTGCAGATGGAGCCTGTGTAACTGGCACGGGGGGGTGGCGGTGGCTGCAGCACTACATGAGATGAACCCCACCAAGCAACAGCAGCTGGGTTCAGTCCTCATCCAGCAAACTGCTCAGCTCCACCTGGGCTGCCCCAGGCTCCTCTGAGGGCTTTGGTGCAAATGCGAGGCATGGTGGAGGATCCAACCCTGCAGGTTTCCCTCTGCCTTACTGAACTTGAGTTGCTTTGTCAACCCATGTTATTGAGTGTGGCTGTGAAGTATGTGCTGCTGTTTGCCACAGAGCATCTCACCAGCAGGTAGCCCTTATGTTTCTGCTCACTGGGACTTGGTATTGCTACTTGATTGTAAACACAGTTTCTCTGATCAGTATTTCAAGTTGTGCTCCACCGCACACACCTCCCCCCTCG